CTCGGTGCCAGCAGCCCCCTTTCCCCAGACCCCTCGCTGTCCCCCGGGCTGCGGGCCGCACCTCTCCCAGCCCTTTCTCCAGCCGGCGCAGCCTTCCTCGGGACCTCCCGGGTGGTTGGCTACCCGCACCGCACCGCCTCCGGTACCTGGTTCCCTCCTGGAGTCCGGAGGTGGAGGACCCCACGAAGGATGAATTGGCCCGTTCTCAGTCCGGCCCGGACTTTAATGACTAAGGGAGGACAGGTTTCAAGTAGCGGAAGCCTCTTTTAATAGAGGAGATGGCGGCTGCGAAGACCCGCTCCCGGACTCTCCGACCCCCGCGCCCCAGTTCCCTGTCCCTCTTCTCGTTCCCCTCCCCCTCCACACCCAGAAATAGCCCGCGACACCTGGCGGCCGTGGCTTCCCCTGGGGCAGGCGCGGGGGGCCGCCCCGGGGAAGCGGAGAGTCCCCTTTGAACGCCCCTCCGCGGGTGGATCGCGCTGGCCTGGCGAGGAGGTGGCCCCCGGTGGGAGCGGGTGGGAGCGGCCCGCTGGCTCCCGGGGGATGTGTCCATTTCATGCCTGTGCTGGGCTAGCGGAGCACTGAGGGCGATGAGGGTGCTGATCTCGCCCAGGGGGTGGCAGGTGGGCCCGTGGCCGCCCCGCCAGCTCCTTCGCTTCCTATTTTGGAAGAGTTGCTGGTTAGGGGACTCCTGCGCAGGCCAGGTGGGCTTCCACCCCTGCCCTATTTCAATTCCTCTTTCCCGATCTGGGCTGGAGCACTTCCTCCTCGCCAGAGCAGCCGAAACTTTCACTGGTGGTTTTAGGATAGGGATGGGTGTGCCCATGAGGGTGGGGTGCTGTGGACCAGGCACTAGCAGAATTGATTAGGTTTCAGGTGGGAGGTAGGGTCTTGACAGGCAGGGAAGTAAAACCTCATGCTCTCAACAGGCGCCCCCCACCCCCAGCACCCTTAGGGATGCCCGCTTAGCCAGGGATGGGGACCTGAGGCAGACAGGTGCTGCTGCTGGCCTGTCTGTGAGGTGGTGGGGCCCGACACCCAGACAGAATTCCCTGTGCCTCGCCCTGCCTCCCTTCTCCTCCTCACTCTGGCCTGGATCCCAGGTGGCCTTGACCTTTCTCAGCTTGGCCAGCAGGCCAGAGAGAGTGTGTATGTCTAAGGTGGGGGTTATTCCAGGACCCGGTCTGGTGTCCAACCTGATGTGGTCACTCTGGCCTGGCAGGGTCATCAACGCTGGCAAGAGCCGGCACAACGAGGACCAGGCTTGCTGTGAGGTGGTGTATGTGGAAGGTCGGAGGAGTGTGTCAGGGGCACCTAGGGAGCCTAGCCCAAGCCAGGTAAGCCGCCCCCCCCCCCCATTTCCTAGCCTCTGGAGGGAGACAGGGTGACACCTCTGCCCAGAGATTCTAGGCATCTGCTTTTAAATCGGAAACATGCCAAGACCTACCACTTACCTCCCTAGCTTTCTATCTTCTGGCCCAGAGTCTTTATCGGGCATAGATTCTACCACGTCAGTATGAATGTAGTTTTCCACTTAAAATGTAGATGCACGTGCACTTATGGGTGATTTAATTAATCACCAATGCTTATTTTTGCATTGGTAATTAATTAACACATCCATGAATACGTGAGCATCCTCTGAGTTTGGCTTTTTTGATGCTTGACTTTCTGATACAATCTAGGCCCTTGGTCAATGGGTGAGTAAATCTAATTTGCCTTTATTACCAAGCTCCGACCTCCTCTCTGTAATGTGTGCGTGGATGCCCAGAGCAGGGGCTTGCTCGTCTCCCTGCGTAAAACACACCCACCCATCACTCATCTCCACTTTTCCTCCAGCAGGGACTCTGCTTCTACTACTGGGGTCTGTTTGATGGGCATGCAGGGGGTGGAGCTGCTGAAATGGCCTCCAGGCTCCTGCATCGCCACATTCGGGAGCAGCTAAAGGACCTCGTGGAGATACTCCAGGACCCCTCGCCACCTCCCCTCTGCCTCTCATCCACCCCGGGGACCCCAGGTTCCTCGGATCCCTCTCACTTGGTGGGTCCTCAGTCCTGCTGGCCTTCACAGAAGGAAGTGACCCACGAGAGCCTGGTAGTGGGGGCCATTGAGAATGCCTTCCAGCTCATGGTGAGTGGGTGGCCAGGGCCAAGGGCCTGCTAGGCAGATAGATACTCTGGTCAGTTCTGTGTGGGAGTCAGGTGGCCTGAGGGGGGTGACCCTGGGAACCTACAGTACCTTTGCAAGCCTGATCCTTGGGTCAGAGGGGAAGGAGGAGGGGGCATTACACCCATGTCTTCCCTCCTCTCCAGGGCAGCTTGGCTGGGCTGGTTTCCTTTGGATGGAGGGGGTGGCTGCAGGCCTGGAAGCTCTTCTTCATCCTCCGCCTTTGACTCTTTCTCACATGACAGGACGAGCAGTTGGCCCAGGAGCGGCACGGCCACCACGTGGAGGGGGGCTGCTGTGCTCTGGTTGTGGTCTACTTGCTGGGCAAGGTGTACGTGGCCAATGCAGGTGACAGCAGGTATGGGGGACGCACTCTTTGGGGTGGGGGAGCAGAAGAGAGTGAGGTGGCGGGTGTTGAAAATCAAAGTCTGGAGGAGGTCAGGAGGGATCACAGACAGAAGAGCCTGAAAGAGCCACGTGGGGAAGAAAGATAGGGGTGTGGATGCTAAATCCTAAGGGTCACTATAGGGAAGGCCTGGTCTTTCTGGAATTCTCCACAAGGGGGCCGAAGAGAGCCGAGCCCCAACCTTTCCTTTCTCTGGGCAGAGCCATCATTGTCCGGAACGGTGAAATCATTCCAATGTCTCGGGAATTCACCCCGGAAACGGAGCGCCAGCGTCTTCAGCTGCTGGTAAGTGTGAACTGAGCTCCTGACTCCCATTCTTTGTTGAGTCTTGGGCCTGTTTGTACCCTACATCCTG